TTTCCTTTTTAGTATGATAACTTAAATTACTCTTCATTTTCTTGCACTTAACTACTTTGTCTTAGCAGAATTGACTATCCCTAGAAGTAATCTTTTCTTCACTCAGTGTAGGGTCAGATAGAATTGAGAAAGATGGAGCTATAGAATAGGTCATTCAGATCATATTTGTGAAAAGGAAGTAATGAATGAGACTCTTTTGATCTTTCTGTACTTCAAATAGTGAGACAAATTGAATTTGTGCCTATGCCACTAGACAGGAAATAAGCTGTCATGTTGCCTTTATCGACATGCTTTCACGTTTGTGTATCCCCAGAGTACTTTGCTCAGTACAATGAAGGAAAAGAACAGGTTTCAGTTCCTTTACAATAGCAACTTATAATTTAGAAAGACAGAGCTATCATATAAAATATATTGGAAAAATTTACAAGGCACTCTTAATAAGTACAAAATGGTGTAAGATAAACTAAAAACATGTATGGTGACATAAAGTAGAAATTGGAGACGTGTGTGGTTTACTCAAGTCTGAAGTCTACCATTGCTAAAAAGTTGAGGAAATGCTAAATACAAGTTGGAATTCTCAGTGAATGTTAAATGCAAATGTAAAATATTTTCTTTCCAAATACAGAGTTTTCCCATGCTCTGATTATGTTAGGAGCTAACACAATCTATTTTTCAAGTCATATCTTAAGTGGCGTATTTCATTTTACTAGAGAAGCAGAGAATCTGAATTCAGAGTTGTGGGTAAGTCAACAATGTAGAAAAAAGAGGAATGAAGCGTGAAATTTTCAGTTAATGGTACTCTTGATTGGAACTTCCTAAATTATAAAAATCAAAATGGCTGCACAGATATATTGGGTCCTTAAAAACCAGTAAAGTGGCTGTGAGAATTGGTAACATAGAAAAGTTTTAAACTTGTGATTGGATGAAATCAGACTGTCTATAGAAATCATTTTCAAACCTGAATTTCTAGTAAAATAAGTGATGACAGTTACCATGGTTTCATTGGGATCTGAAATACATACATACCAAAAGAGCAAAATTAATCTGAGTGTCAGAATTCTCATAGAATAATCCAGTCATTGACATGTTTTCTTCAAAATTAAGTGTAGTTAATTGAAAATTATTTGTATAATGCATCAGTTTGCATCCCCTCCCCCAACCTACTGAATTCTCTCATAATAACAGCAAATAAAGACTATAGCAATTTTGTATCTTAGCATAGTTGTAAGGTAATTGCTTACATTAAAGAATTTTGTGTCCAGGACCAGTCTTTTGGCTGTTCTTTTGAGCTAGTGAAGTCCTCGATGTGGAACCCTATCTCTTCCAATCATGTATCTTTTTTTAATGTTTTAAATTTTTATTAGTACATGTTGAAGTACATAATGATTACATTCATCATGGGGAGTTGGTATGTGGACATACCTCTTTTTACTTCCCCTTGCCTCCCCTCCCTCTCCTAAACATGTATCTGAAATGCTGTAAGGGTTGTCAACCTGATTATGCATTATCTAATACATGTTCACAAGACAAACATGACATATCCATTTCCTTTGCTTCTAAGATTGGTTGTATTTAAATTAAATATATTCAGCTTGTCTGCAAAGAGTGTTCAGTTAATGATAACATATTTTAAATAGGTCAAAACTTCAGAGAAATGAAAATCGAGATATCAGTGAAGTAATTGCTCTTGGTGTGCCCAATCCTCGGACTTCAAATGAAGTTCAATATGACCAAAGGCTCTTCAACCAATCTAAGGTAAAGGAGTCTAGAAACAGCCTAGCTTGTGTCTTGATGTGAATATCTAGCCTCAGATAAAAGAAAATTTATGTAACTTAGATTTGGGTCATTTAAGAGTATGCTAGTATGATGATAGGGAAAAAATGGAAGTTCTGTGTTGTTACTTAAAAGATAAGGTGAAACACTTCTAATTATAACCTCTTATAATTGGCTACAGTTAGAAGTACTAGTAAAAAATGAAAGAAGGCAGGTGATAAAACTTGGTTCTGGTATGTCTATCTTTTGTTTCTAAAGTAGAGCCTACCAAAAAAATAACTACTCTGGGATTGAATCCAGAGTCTTTGTGCTGTTACATCCCCATCTCTTTTTTTTTTTTTTTTCACTTTGAGACAGGGTCTTGCTAAATTTTCCAGGCTAGGCTGGAACTTGAGATCCTCCTGCCTCACCCTCCCAGGGTGCTAAGATTAAAGGCATGTACCACCATACCTTGCTGGATATTTTTTTAATGTCATAGACACATATCAACTTGAAATCCTTAAAAAATGAAGCTTTAAAAGTAAAATATCAGCCTGATTGTCAGAAAAATCTGATTTCTAGTACTAATTGTCAGTAACCACCTAGGACACATTTTAATAAACCTAGTGTTGATTACTGTGTATAAGGCATTAGATCAACGATGGATCCACTTTTGCCTTTAAGAAACCATACATATATAAAGACAGGGTAAGGAATATAGAAGTGTCAATTCTACTGGGATAGAAAGGGAAAGTTAATTATAACTTGGAGGTTATGGGAAGATTTCGAAGTATTTTAATATGCTCTTCTAAGAAATTTATTGAGTGCTTTTCATATTCCTAGTGTTATTCTAAATCTTGTATTATCTCAACTCTTAAAATCTATATAGTCATAATTTATTATCTCTATTGTATAGATAAGGAAATTGAGTCACAGTTATTTAGTAACTGATGGAATTAAGATTCAAATTTGAATATCTTGATTCCAATGGCAGTTTATCAGCCTGAAGAAATCAAGTTAGGGATGAAAATTCCATGTAAGTAAATATTTTCAACTGTAATAAGATTAAAGCATTTAAAAGTTATGATGTCTTCGTCACTTTCCTGTTGCTGAGACAAACTACCCAACACCCAAAACTTACAAGAAAGGTTTATTTTGGCTCATGGTTTTAGTCCACAGTCAGCTGGCTCCAAGACAGAAGAAACAGGATGGCAGAGGGACATGGTGGAAGAAAAGGTGCTCAACCTATGGCAGCCAGGAAGTAGAGAGAGAAGAGAGGAGCCAGGAAGGGAGATAAAACCCTTCTAGGTCCACTCCCCCACTGACTGGCTTGTAACCAGGCCTTATCTCCATAATAGCAAGACAGCTAAGAATTCATTAGTAGACTAATCCACTAATGAGTGTAGTGCCTCCATGATCCAATCATCTTTCACATATGAGATGTCTTAGTTACTTCCTTGTCGCTGAGACTCAATACCTGACACCCACAACTATAAGGAGGAAAAGTTTATTTCTACTCAAGTTTGTAGAGGTTTCAGTCCGTAGTAAACTGGCTCCAAGGCAAGATGGCATAGCAGAGGGGCATGGCAGAGGAGAATTGCTCGTGGTGTGGCAGGTAGGAAGTAGAGCAATTAAAAGGAGAAAGATACACCCTTCCAGGCCATGCCCCCAGTAACCCACTTCCTCTTAGTATCTGACCCCCATGATCCAGTCAACTCCCAGAAGCTTCACCTATGAGCACATGAGGCTTTGAGGGGACATCTAGATATAAACTATTACAGGAGGCTTTTGCAGAACATTTTAGACCCAAACGATAAATGAAAATTTATTTCTTAAGATTTTCATCATGAGCCTTATTGCCTTATGCTGTAATAGGGATATTCTCAGACAGTTAAGGGGTATAACTTTATTTTAGTGTAAATGGAATCAGAAATGTTTTACCATTCTTGGATCTTCTTGCTACTCTGTCCATAAAAATTGAAAAATTGAAATTGTCGAGCCGAGGATTTAGCTCAGTGGCACTGCATCTGCCTGGCAAGCAGAAGGTCCTGGGTTCCATCCCCGGTACAAAAAAAAAAAAAATTGAAATTGTCAAGTACCTGCTTGTAAGAGAGCCTTCAGTTTTAATGATTACTTTGTTAAAGTACTCACTTATTAATGAATACCTTATTCATCTGAATCTTAGCAGCAAAACATGAACCTAATGTATACTTGATGAATGTTCTTATAATTCGCAGTTCAGATTTTTGAAAGGATATTATGAGCAAGTGCATATTCTTCATGAGAAAATCAGCTTCACCTTTTAATAATCTTTTTTTAAATTTCATGTCATTTTTCCACAGGGTATGGACAGTGGATTTGCAGGTGGAGAAGATGAAATTTACAATGTTTATGATCAAGCCTGGAGAGGTGGTAAAGATATGGCCCAGAGTATTTACAGGCCCAGTAAAAATCTGGACAAAGACATGTATGGTGATGACTTAGAAGCCAGAATAAAGACCAACAGGTACCAAGGCAGACTGTTCAGTTTCAGTGTTTACAACAATAAAATAGAACTATTTCATAGTCTTTTCTCCTGTTCTAGATTTGTTCCTGACAAGGAATTTTCTGGTTCTGACCGTAAGAGAGGCCGAGAAGGACCTGTTCAGTTTGAAGAAGATCCTTTTGGTTTGGACAAATTTTTGGAAGAAGCCAAACAGCATGGTGGCTCTAAAAGACCCTCAGATAGCAGTCGCCCCAAGGAACATGAGCATGAAGGCAAGAAGAGGAGGAAAGAGTAAATCCAACTCTCTTCAAAGTGAATGAACTATTATCCATAACCCTAATGATGCAAGTCATGGGGGAACTCTTTGTAAATGGTCAGGAAAAAACCAAATCTGGGTGCTAGATCCCAGCACTACTTTTTATTACAGGAGACAGGGGGGTTGAATATTCTACTTTGAATTATTTAGTTTTTTTAAAAGAGTGGGTTGTGTTTGTGCTTCTCCCACCTTTTTGGCACCTAGAGAACATACTGCCCCACACACAGAATTGAGACCACTTCTTTTTGTGTGACACAAATAGGGGTAATATTTTGTGTAAGAACAACTGCTTATAAAGTTATACCAACCACAATGAGTAGGAGAATATTCACATATTGGAACTGTGCTATCAAATGAATTTTGCCCGTTCTGTTTTTCTTTGGAGTGGGGAAAGTAAGGTCTTGCTTACTGCAGCTATTTGTTTCAAATAAAAACATTTAGACAAAATTCTGTTTTGTGTTTATTTAATGGGTTTAATCATCTCAGAAATCTTTCTCTTCATCAGATGTTTGATCCCCTTGCAAAATTTTTGGTTTTTGAACTTGAATGTGGACCTTAAAAAAAAAAAAAGCACTATAAGGAAAGGCAATGTTTGCAAAAATATTAAAACAAAACACTTTATAAGAATGGTTCTTTTTCTTTTGATATTCAGCACCAGTGACTCAAGCAGTTATTAGTAGTTCCTTGTTAAGAATCTCTGAACTTTAAAAGTTCTAAGTCAGTTTAGAACAAGATCATGTAAGTGGGAAAGCCAAGATTTCGACCCATTTGCCTGACTTGAAAGGACACTATTTCCCCTGTTTTGTATACATATTCATCGCTAACCATCAAAAGGGCCTTCCAGTTGGAAGTGTAGGTCAGTGGTAAAGCACATACTTAAGCATGCATGAACCCAGAGTTCAATCCACAGCACCAAAATAGAGGGTCTTCCTGTACTTCTCTCCTCAGACCTTTTAGAACCTGGCACTCTACCACCACCAATTTTTTTTTTCTCTTTGGAGACAAGAGTCTCATTTTAGTTGAGGCTGGCCTTGAACTTACTATGTACCCCAGCCTAGCCTCAAACTCACAGTGATTCTCCTGCCTCAGCCTACAGAGTGGGGATTACGGGCATGTGATGCCTGGTTTCTACCACCACCAATCTTTAATAAGCATTAAAGAAGTTTGTCAGGCATAAATTTCCCAAAGTTCCTGTCATTCCATTAATTCTGTTTGGTACATGGAAAGCTCATGATAAAATGTGGAAACAGATTTACCTTTACTCCATCAATTACGTGATTTTCATGTTGCACTGCATTCTGAAGTGCTTCTGAAGAAGAAAAGTAAATCCAACACATACCTTTATGAAAGCCAGTCTCTTTATCCTAAAAATAAAAAATGTAATAAGGGAAAGATTAATCATGAACTTCAGAAAGTTTCCATAAGCTCCAGATCAAACTACTGACTTTTTCATTTGCTAAAATCATACTGCAGACATTAATAAATGTCAGTAACCTTTGCTTAAAGTATGTATTTACCCTTCTAATTTAGCAAGGCTAAATCCCAGTGTTAACATACCCTTTCCACTGCCATTGGACAAGACAACAGGTAGTGGGCTATCATTCTAGATGCAAACCACACTAACAGTAATAAGGAATAAATTATCACTGATGTACTCATTTCTAACCTAATTCCTGGGAACTAGAAAAGTAAGCCCCAAAACCTAGTTATATCTGTCATTTCTGAGACCCATCAATGTCCTCACCACTCCTACCTTTTTATCGTTGCATGTTCCCAATGAAAAGTGGGGAAGAAATTACATAATTCCAAACATCTGGTTAATTTAAACACTTGGAACTTGTACAAAGTGTTTATCATTCAGTTTATGACACACAAGAGATTCCAGTGTGCTTGAAGACACTGCCCTACCCCTACAGCCCTCCAATAAAAAACATTCTGAGATGCCTATTCAATGAAGATGACCACTTGGTCCTCATAAGTCTCATTACAAAGTCATACTTTATCAAAAACACCATATTTTAGATACTGCTCACAGTTCAGACTTCAAAGGTTACTTTGAGTATTAACCTAGAACATAGGAAGTTTCTGATGTTGTACCAATGATCCACAACCCTACCCGATAAATACCTCCATGTAACCGTTCTGCAAATAAAGCTATTTTTAAAAGTGTGTTATTATTTACATAATAAATACAGCCACGTGTGATGGTGCATGCCTGTAATCCCAGCAGTCAGGAGGCAAGCAGAAGAATTGTTGTGACTTCAAGGGTAGCCTGAACTACATAGTAAGACACTGTCTCAAAAAAAAAAAGAATTTACATAATATATTCCTAAGACTGGAGTCACAATTTCCAACTTGAGTAAATTAACTTGAAATTAATGCTTTTTTCTATTACATTTTTAGTTTTAACATCAAAGCTTTCTTTAAGATCCTTTCAGGTCCTAAATTATCTCATTTTTACTTTTAGATGGCAACCAAGAAAAATCTTGTTTTCAGAAGAACTTTTAAAAAATACTCTCCAAAAAATTTAGTTTTCGCTGGCTGTGGTGTGTATCCCCATAATCCCAGCACTTGGAAGGCTGAGGCAAGATGACCACCTTGAGTTCAAGGCCAGCTGTAACTACAAAGTGAGACCTTCTATCAAAAAAAAAAGGTTTTTTATGTTATAATTAGTATTGTTGATAATTTTATCAATAAAGACTTGAACAGCTTCATTAGATAGTAACATGCTGATATGCTTTGATTTTTCAAAAAATCAAGAATTAGAGGGTAACAATTTTTTGTAGTGGGGAATCAAACTTAGAGCCTCACACATGCCAGGCAAGTGCTCTACCACTGAGCTACACCAGCAGTCCTCAATAGTTTTTTAAAAAGAATACTCACAAAAGGAAGAATGCACTTTTGTATATGGCCAAACTGAGTAAAGTGTTTTCTCAGCTCATCTGTAGGAGGGAAGACAACATATTAAAGGTAATATATTAATATTATTATATAAATATATTTTGTTTTCTCTACCCTATATAACAGATAGCAACTAAAAAGGGTCCTAGAGTCCCCAAATTTCTTATAGACAGAAACTACTTTACATTCCCTTAAGATTCAGCAAGTAGCGACAGGAGTGACTATATTGCTGTAATACCCCACACTTGGTAGGGATGAAGACACAGGCAAAGGAACTGCTGCTCTGGCTACAGTCTCCATACTCAGCAATTGCGGAGTGTTTTCATTATACTAGGTACTGTGCTCTAGGTGTGTACATTAAAATCTTTGTAAGGAGATCATACAGAAGTTTGATAGGACAACCTAGTTTGTTGTCAGCCAATAATAGATTTCCAAATAAAACCTCAACTTTCTAGTCTTTCCTAAGTTTACACTGAGTTGAACAGTTGATGCTCTAAAATGTGTTGAGTTAATCCCACCTACCCTTCCATCCTTATTTCACTGCCAGCCCACAGTTCATCTCCAGGATAGCAAATTGAATTTTCTGTATCCTATCCTGTGGAATCCCATCCTTGCATATGTTGTTCTCTTCCTTTGAGGTGTCAGTACCCCTGTCTCCTTCTACCTAAATTATCACTATCCTTCCACACTCAAGCCAAGCCATTGAGTATCCTTTTATTGGGCTTCTACTACAAGACAATGTACTATCCCTGTGAGATCTCTTTACAATTATATACCATAAGAGACTATAGTATATAATGTTAAAGATAAAAAGAAAATTACATGATCTCTTTTATTCTGAACTACAAACTGTAGTTTGTTGGTTTAATTTTATATTACCTGTGTCTCCTAGTTCATCTAAACTTCATTCTAAACTGCCTATATATGTTTGTAAGTCTCCTTAGTCCCACCCACCACTATACTATAAACTGTATATATAGAAACTACTACATTTACAGTGTGTGTTACACAATAAGATTTCAATATTGGATGAGTGAATAAGTAAAAGTCTGGCGTTATTGGCAGGTGGTAGAACCCTTAAGAGGTGGGCCTAGTCTGTCTGTCTGTCTCTCTCTCTCTCTCTCTACTTCCCATGCAGCCCCACCATGATGGTACTACAACAAGTCCAAAGCAACAAGGCTAAGCAACTATGGATTGAAACCTCTGAAACCTTGAGTTAAAATAGGAAATGATCTTTACCTGAATATCACCAAAAAATGACCGTGGATTTTTAAATTGTAGTAAGTAAATAAAACCTTAACTCAAATCCCCAAATGACAAAAATCAAAGTTGGTAAAAGATTACAGAATTACTCCAACACTATCTCCAAACTAGGCCTCTCCCATGAGCTTCCATTTTAGTGACCATGAAAATAATTATCATTCATTGAGTGCTCACACTCTAGTACAAATCTAAAAAATGTATATATAAACTCATCTAATACTCTTCTTAGTCTTACAAGGTAGGTAAGGATTATTGACTCCATTTTTTAGATAAGTAAACTGAAGCACAGTTGTGAGCCCTTTTCCCATATTAGCTTCAGTTACTAGGGTTATACAACTATTAAATAGCTGAGGTGATAGTCTAACCCAGGAAATCTGGCTTTAGAGTCCACTTCTCACCACGTACCATCTCCATGCAGTTGCCTGACAGGACCTCACAAGCTTTTCAAATTCAACACATTTCGACTAACCCTCGCTTTCTCTCATCCAGCTCCGCCTCAATTCTAAACACAAATTCACCAATTCTAAAATATCTGGAACTCATTCTCGGTTTTCTCTCATACTTTATCATTCGCTCCTCAAGCCATCACGAAAAGCCGCGGGTCAGCAGATCGGACTCCCCTATTTTTACCACTTCCCTAGTTCACATCTTCATCTAGGGCAGGGGAAGAGAAGCTCGAATCCCGGGGCTGACACATGATAGGCAAGCGCTCTACCACTAAGCTACATCCCTAGCAGGTCCTTAGCCTTGAACTAAATGAAATTACCTTTTATCTAGTCTCCATGTCTACAATCTTTCCGCTCTGACCCTAAGCTCCACACTGCAGTCCCTTATAAATCGTAAATCTCAAAATTCGCAAGTAATAAACCTTTCCACCAAATCACTCTAAATTATAGGAGACCGTGAATTCGTGTCCTAAAAGCTCAGGGACATTCCTAAACAGTTCATTACAAACAAAATTTCTCTGCACTGGCTTGCTAAAGAGCAAATTCGGCCTTCCAATCCTGCCACCACGCTGATAAACGCTCTGCAGAAGTCAGAGGTTTCGCCTATGGCTTGGGCCTAAGAATTCCGCCCCTCTATATCTCCGTCACTCACTGACTGTTGCAGTCCAAGGAATTTTCCAGACAAAAGCAACCCGCCGAGTAAAATTCGTACGCAGTGCCACGGTACCCCTCGATACCGAGGCTGCCATCTTTAGACTGAAAATCCTCCGCGACCTGGAGTCATGACCCCGGAAGAACTTGCCAGATCCCACGCAGAGGAATCTGCTTCCGGGCCAGAAGATCCAGCCAGCGAGATGGGGAAGATGGCTGCAGCTGTGAGTTCTGTGGCGACGCTGGCTACTGAGCCTGGGGAGGACGCCTTTCGGAAACTTTTCCGTTTCTACCGGCAGAGCCGGCTTGGGACTGCAGACCTAGGAGGAGTCGTCGACTTCTCGGCGGCTCACGCAGGCTGCAGCACGGCTCCTGGGTCCCAAAAGGTACGGAAAGAGGATGGGCGCGCGCCTCCCGATCTTCTAGACTACCTCTGTTGGAGAGGCTTCCTCTCTTCCGAAAGATCCCGGTCCTACTTGGGCGCGGAGTCGAACTGCTCATGAATCATCACACTTCGGTGATAAAGCGCTGTGCTACAGGTTTCTTCACTCTGCCATTCCCCACAGTCCAAAAAGCCTGGGAATTTGGTGGTTTATTCCTCTCTTTAGCTATCCACGTACAGTTCTATTTTGTTTTGTGCAAAACCCTGCCCAACGTCTTTGTAGACGTTAAATTAGAACACTGCAGTTTCAAAAAGAAGACCTGTGGGGCCAGGGATTTAGCTCAGTGGTTCCGTTGCCTGCCTGGCAAGTGCAAGGTCCTGAGTTAGATCCCCCATCCCCCCCCCCCAAAAGAAGACCTGTAATCCCAGAACTGAAAGAGATCCGATATTCTTAGTCCCATTTGTGCATAAAACTAGTCCCAGACTTCTCTGTACCTATTTCAAGAGGTCATTAAAAGAGTCTGAGATAATCTCCCCAAGGTGAAAATAAATGTCAAATGAGTATATATAAAATCCAACACAAAAAATTATTTCTACGTTTTCCCCTGAAAATTAAGAAAGGGAACACAGGGCCGGGGATTTAGCTCAGTGGTTCCGCCGCCTGCCTTGAAAGCGGAAGAAACGAGTTCGATCCCCAGTACCAAAAAAAAAAGAAAGGGAACACAATGAGGGAAAGGTGGCACAGGGCACACCACAACTGGAGTGCAGCTACATTTCTTTACAGTTGCTTTCGACAGTGAGGACATACAGTTCTTTAATAGGCCTTACATGTTGTCCACAGATGTCTAGATGAGGTATTCTTCCCAAGCAATAGGTGTATCTCTCAGTAACATTGTAATGCTGTAGTATCTCTGTCTAGAACTCAGCTTGTCTGCAACTTCATTCCATGGGGGTTTTTTGTTTTGGGTTTTGGGGTTTTTTTGAGACAGGATCTTGCTATGTAGTTCGGACAGGCCTTGAACTCAACAGTGTAGCCCAGGCTGGCCTCAAACTCAAGACGTCCTCCTGCCTTAACCTCACCATAGTGCTGGAATTACAGGCATGCGCCTCCACACCCAGCTGCAACTTCATTTGAAGATAAAGAGCACACCTTGTAAGACTGCACCCTTGACTGAAAATTCTTCAGAACCTCACCGAGCTGCATTTATGTATATTTTACCACTATGCATGCATACATTTTAGAATGCAAGCCACCTGAGAATGGGACATTGTGTCCAGCACAGTACCCAAAACTCAGCACTCAAAAAATACTACGGAGCGTTGAGTATGAAAACTTTGGTGTTTAGTTCCCCAGCTCAAAGCAGGTTAAAAGTAGTAAATTAGAGAAATTCATATCACAACACAGTTGATTAAAGCAGTGAGGAAATGATGGCTACCAGTCTGGCAAGGGAGAAAACAGAAAAATTCTTAGAAGTTGAGTGATTTGGTTCAGTTTACCGTATGATAGAATAGATTCACAAACACACCAGCTCATAGGCATTGCTAAATTGTAATCAGTATTAATTATGGCCTGTTTAAGAAATCATGAAAAAGTGTTTTGTCAACCCCAGGATACCTGGAAAACTCACCTGATCAGGACTCTCAGAATATTTCAGTAGTCATTCCCTTTTTTTTTTTGATACCAGGGATCGAACTGGGGGTCCTTGCGCTTGCGAGGCAGGTGGTGGAACCACTGAGCTAAATCCCTAACGGTCATTCTATTATATACATTGGTTATATACCAGTCACTGGTTGGTATTTTATATGGAAATCTCCATAATTAGAAAAGTTTGTAGGATAAAAGATCATCTCTTTGACGCTTGATGTATTTAAGAAAAGCCAAAATCTAGGTTTATTATTCATGGAAAAATAGGTTTTTTTCTTTAATGCCTCTACACCAATGAAAGAAACCATCCATAAGATGCTTTGATGTGCAAAGAAAACCTCATCAGCTCTAATACTTTATTTCTAAGTAACTACGCAAAGCAAAATGCTAGTATCAACATTTCATCTAAAAAAGTAAAACTATTGTACTTTGAGCAATTGGAGTTCCAAGTGTTGTATTGAAACTTTTTGGTTAGAGCACTTTTTCCATACTCTCTTCCTACCCAGCCTGCTGTTCCTCATAGCTCTGTATAAACATCAACCACTCACAGATGCCTCAGAAGCAGTACACTAATCAGAGTAGTAGTGTTACTTGGGATATTCCAGTATACCAAATACCTTTCGTGAATTTATTACCAAGGTATGGTCTCATAGAAAACAGTAGTATTGAAGGCCAAACCACCTTTTTGTTAACTTTCCTCTTATGACTTACTTTGTATAACTTTCTAGTATTTGTTAATATATAAATGAAGAAACTAAACTTCGAGGAAGTTAAATTAGTCCTCTTAAAGTCCCAGGCCAAGTAAGTGGTAGAGTTAAGATTAAAAACCCCAATATAAGACAGCTTCACTCCCTACCAAAAATGTCTTCTGAGATTGAGGTTCCCCAGGCTGACTTATAAAATAGCTTTATCCCTCTGATTTTTGTTTCCTTCCTTTCAGGTGGTCAGATCTCAGTTAAATGTGTCCTCCGTCAGTGAGCATGATGCACATCGAGCAGGGCTTAAGCCAGTCAGCAAGTGGCAAGCCTATGGACTCAAAGACTATCCTGGTGCGTACATTTGACCTCAGACAAGGTGAAACCACTCAGTCATTTCTCTGATTTAATAGAAGGAGCTGTGAGCAAGTAGACAAAGGAGTAAACATATGTAAATGTTCCAGTCAAGCACTGCGTAAATTATACCTTATCTAAGATGTCCGTTTATTTAGCTCCAAATGTTACAGCAAGAAATCAGCTCACTGTGTAGCCCAGGCTGGCCTTGAACTCAAACTAATCCTTTTGCCTCAGCCTCCTGAGAGCTGGGATTACGGGCATGCACCACCAATAATAGCAAGGCTATTATTTTCTGTTGATGTAGGCCTTCTTCCCTTAACAGTTTATTCAAACTACATTGTTATTAACCCCACTTCGGTTTTGTACTTTCCAAAGTGGTGTGCCTTTTTTTGTGAGGTGTTGTAGGATTTCTTACTTAAAGCCACGTCATTTGGGTTGGTGCCTCCTTGTGTCTTTAAGGAATTCTCCCATCTTCCTTCCCATTATAAATTGCATTTTAGTAGAAGTATAATGTCCTGCTAGCTAAGCATGGTGGCACACACCTGTAATCTCAGCACTCCAGAGGCTGAGGAGGCAGAAAGATCACTGAGTTCAAGGCCAGCCTGGACTACATAGTGAGACCCTGACTCAGAAAAGCAAAACAGACAAAAATGTAATATCCAAAGCAGGTGTGATAGCAGTCTCCTTTTACAGTTGATCAGAGAATTGTGTTTACTTCCAGGACCCACTTACACTGAAGGAGCCGAAGTATAATGGGTCTGAAAACCAGAAACTTATTCTAGAGAAAAGAGGATTTGGTGGGAAACATGACAATACCAAACACTTCAAAAGTGATCTGACACAAAATGGAATGGGAAAGAGTAAAGAGTAGTGGTTAAGGGATAGGTTCTGGTGCCAGGCTGCTTGGACTCAGACTGGTACTACCAACTAGTAACTGACCTGGAGCAAATTTTTCTTCTCTTTTTTTAAAAACTTTTTTGGTGATGCTCGGGATTGAACCCAGGAGTATTCTCTACCACTGAGCTACATCTACATCTCCATCCCTTACTATTTTTTATTATTCTGTTATTTCTATTTGTTATTTCCCTGTCTGACCTTAAACTCAAGATTCTCCTGCCTCAGCCTCCCATGTATCTGGGATCGTGTATAAAGTATGTATAAAATAGTGCTCACTTCATAAGGTTATTGTGAAGTTTCAATTTGAATGTACATGTAGAGTGGTTAGATCAATGACTGGCACATAGTAAGCACTCAATAAATATTAACTATATAAAATATTTAATAACTAACCACTGATTTGGGGTTGCTGTAGGTGTCAGAACCCAATACCAGTGCATGACAAAGGGAGGCAGATTTTTAATCCAGTGAAAGGAAAATAGCACTGCAGTTGTCTAAAATTCCTAAAGAGGAATTTGGTGTCTGTTCAAGCTTGAACTAGATCAGAAGTATTCTTCCTTTGATTTGATGCTTTGAGAGATATTACAATATTATTTATTTTGTGAGATAATGATGCTAGCAGATGGTAGGTTGTGGAGGTATTTGTTTTGTGATACTAGGGATTGAACCCAGGCCTTTTGCACTACATCTCCAGCCCTTTAAAAGTGTTTTGAGACCGGTCTTGCTAAGCCATTAAAATGCCCAGGCTAGGTTTAAAATTGTTATTCTGGACCAGGGATTTAGCTCAGTGGTTCCACTGCCTGCCTTGCAAGTGCAAGGTCCCGAGTTCGATCCCTGGTACCAAAAAAAAAAAAAATTTTATCCATAGCATCCCAGGGATTACAGGCAAGTGCCATCTCTTTATTTTTTGATATCTTTTTGTCTCCCAATACTGACTTTCTTATCACTCTTACAAATTATTTCAAGATTAACTGCTAAAGGAAATGCAAAAATAGGAACCCCTACTAGGTACTATTTCTTAAAGACATACGAGGAATCAGATAAGTAGTTAAACTAGCTGGCTATTGAAATGAATTTCTCTGGTTGATCCAGTAAACGTGTTTATTGCTCAGGCTGTTAATGGTTTTCTCTTTCTTTTATTGCATCAGTGCACAGTCTGCCTAGGTAATGAAATCTACCAATAGCTTTTAGTTTTTTCTTAGTTGATAAAAATTTTTTCTCTATGAGACTTCCTTGGAACCAACATGTAACTAACTTTGATCATTAGGCTTAGTTTGGAGTATATGCTGTAGATAATATTAAATGGTAGAACAGGATTAATAACTATAGTGACCACCTTGTCCTCAGTCAACATCTGTAAGCTCTGTCTGTTTTTGCCCATATCTGTAAAATTCTAGACGAGAATTTTAAGTGCTTGCAGTAAGATTTAATATGGTGGAGAAATCTTCAGGTTATTTGCTACATGTTTTCTGTTATGTCAGCAGAAGTTCCTTTCTGCCAAACTTCATGTGATTTAAAAATCTCTTTGAAATTCTGGTAAACACGATTTTATTGGAATACAGCCATGCCTATTTGTTTACTTATTATCTATGGCTACTTCCCTGCTACACTGGAAGAGTTGAGTGCTAAAGAGACTAAATAGCCCCCAAAGCCTGAAATACTTACTTTCTTGCTCTTGACAGAAAAAGTTTGCTGGGGGCCGGGGATTTAGCTCAGTGGTGCTGCTGCCTGCCTCCAAAGTGCAAGGTCCCAAGTTCGATTCCTGGTACCAAAAAAAAGTTTGCTGGCCTCATCTAGATCTATACGTTACTGCCTGCATTTAACTCAGATAACCATAAGCATTAAAGTTTTCATCTGTTCTTAGTTCTTTGCAAGGGGGACATTTCGCTAATAGATAATGATTACCATTTATATAATTTCATTGATTTCTGTTTGTTCTTCAGGATCCTTTCCCAGCCATGCTTTGTTTTGCTGAGATGACCTTGCTCTTTACTTGACTAGGAAAACTGAGTCTATGAGGCAAAAACCCTTTCAGCTTTCAGTGGTACCCTCAACAAGCAAATGTTCTCCTTCTCATCCTCTAATCATAGCAGGAGAGAAGTTCTTTTATTTCAGAGCCAGACCCTTCATCATCTTGATCACGTTTTATCTCTTTCAAGACTTTGCTCTATTCCTTTCCTCTATTTTCAGTCAATTCTTCATTACTTTCTCTTTTCACAGCCTATAAACATGCTTAGGTCTTGAAAATCCCTGAAAATCTTAAACTCCCCTCTTAATTCCGTATTCGTGTATGACTCCTCGGCCTTTGTTTCCCATTGTAGCCAGGCTTCTATAAAGAGGACTTGTGTAACCCTCTACTGTCCTATCTCCAGGAACTTCACTTTCTTCAAAGTTATTCTTCTGTTTAATTCTTAATAAAGTGTCTGGTACATAGTATATGTTTAATGAATGTTGGATGAATAAATGACTCTACCATGAACAGGATTCCATTTAAATATTTTATTCATCTTTTTTAGAGGAGAAAAATGAGAGTGTCTTAACTGTCAAAGTCACGGAGATCTGACAATACACATGCTATATAGTTATTTACATTATATCATACTGAAAAGATGAGTATATCATTTTCCTTGTTAGTCAGGGTTCAGTCCAGGAAGTAGACGTCACCAATTATTTAACAAATAACAATATAAAGAATTATTAGTCTGGTATTAGAAACTCAAAAGAAAAAGGGAATACTGAAGTATCACAGAGGTAGCAGCTGTAGGAGAAGGCCACCATCCCAGGAACTGAGAGTAAAAACAGAAGAGTTTGAGATTATTAAATTTAGAAGCTTTGAAGAGGAGCCACATAGATGTAGAACTTAGTTGTTGTTTTTTTTTTTTCTTTTTTGGCAGTGCTGGGGATTGAACCCAGGGCCTCGCACATAGTAGGCAAAGCATAGTGCCAATGAACTACATTGCCAACTCCCAAGACTTAGAAATCTGAGGAAGGGACGTTAGTGAGACTGGTTCTAGTGGTATGGCAAACTGCATAAGAACCACCTTTTAGGGCTGGGGATTTAGCTCAGTGGGTTCGCCCCCTGCTGCGCAAGCTCAAGGACCCGTGTTCGATCCCTGGTACCAAAAAAAAAAGAACCACCTTTTACCCTCTAGTCATCCATTAGTGTCCTGTATGGGGATAGGTTAACAGGGAGCCAGCTGGCAAAGAGACAAATTAGTTTGAAGGTCCTTGTGAAGCCAAATATAGAAGGAGCAATTTGATACAGAGAGACAAGATAGATTAATAACCAGTGCTCCATTCATTAGATGAAGAATTTTAAATGTATATTTTAGTTTTAATTCAATATAAGAGTTCAGCTTACTGTTCCTGTGGTAAATGAAATAAGTTAGAGAGGTCTTGGGTGACCTTGTTTTGTTTTGTTGTGACAGGTTCTTGCTTTGTAGTTTAGGCTGACCTTGAACTCACTAGGTAGCCCAAAATCCTCCTGTCTTGGCCTCCTGAGTGCTGGGATTACCAGTGTGTGCCACTAAACATGGCTCTTTGGTTTTTGTTTTGTTTTTTATACCAGGGATCGAACTCAGGACTTTGCGCTTACAAGGCAGGCGTGGTGCCACTGAGCTAAATCCCCGGCCACACCTGGCTCTTTGGATGACTCTAAATGGTTACACTTGTGAAAATGAGTAGACTTTTGACATTAAGTTCTAAAGGCTTGCTTTAGGATAACACAATTGACAGTTAACCTTGGAGAATGTTTGTTTCCCTTTAGAATAACTCAAAAATCCAAAGATAATTCCATAAGTATAGGTGTCTGATGTTCATCAAAACTTACTGTCTTTTCATCCAGGTACAGTGGTACATGCCTGTAATCCCAGCATTCTGGGAGACTGAAAGCAGAGTTCTAGCCCAGCCTGGACAACTTAGCTGTACTCCATCTCAGAATGAAAAAGAGCTGGGATATAACTCATTGAGAAGGCCCTGGGTTCAGTCACCAGTGTGGGGGGCAAAAAGACAACCTTACTAGCTTTTCATTAACTTGAATCATAACCAGAAGGATATGGGAAATAAATAACAGGATGAGAATACAAGATTGTTAACAAAAAGAAATTATATGAATAACTGATGGAGAATTTTCTCCTCTCCTTTTTGTCCCACTCTTCTTTCGTATAGGATTTATTTTTATCCCCAACCCCTTCCTCCCAGGATATCAGTGGCACTGGGTGAAGCAGTGCCTTAAGTTATACTCCCAGAAACCCAATGTATGTAACCTGGACAAGCACATGACTAAAGAAGAGCCTCAAGACCTGTGGGAACAGAGCAAAGAGTTCCTACGGTAAGTCTTAGCAGTCTGAATGAAGTATTAATAGCTCACATCATTACTGATCTTTGAAGAAACTTTTATGCAGTGAAGTGAAAGTGACTATCTGGGGGTTTTCCCTCATTTCCACACAGTACAGTTGTTTTCTTTCCCTGGGAATGTTTGGACAGATGCTTTGACAGTTATATTAAACTGAGATCCATTTTAAAGATACTGCTTATCATAGCTAAGATATTGAGTTCATTCACATTAATCATTAGATCCATTTTTAGTCAGCTTCAGCACTTTTTCTACTTAAAGTGAGCTCTTTTTGAACGCTTGTGGTATCCTAGGAAAAAAATATCATTGCTCTTTACTTCTCTCTTAGATGGAGTTGATGCTACCAGCTGTTTTATGATTGGTCAGTTGTTCCTCATGGGAGAACAACAAATATTTGTACAATATCTTCATATTGTTTCAGCATTCATTCATTTATTTCACAATAATACTGTATACCGTATTGTTCTTGAACTAGACTATATTTTCAAGTTATTTATTTTTTTCTCTTCTGATACTTATTGGCGATCAGGTGTAGATCAGACATGATGCTAGACTTTAGAAACAAAAAGCTTAATAGGACATTCTCCCTGGACTCAAGAATGAATAGTTTATGACATTCATTATGTACAAGAATAATTACCGTGGAGCTCAGACACTGTTATGATGGAGCTTAGAAAAATACTCTGAGAGCACAAAGAAAGAAATAATTCTTCCAGACAGGGTGGAGATGTCAAAGGAGAAAAAGTGGGGTTGTTTTTTTTTTGAGTCTGTTAACCTCTTTTTCTTTGTACATTTGAGCTGATCTTCAAAAATCACTATAGTTTTACCAATCAGAAAAGCAAAAAGGCTGCCTGGGTATAGTTCGGTAGTAGAGCACTTGCCTAGCACTCATCAGTCCCTTGGTTTAGTCCCCAGCATTGCAAAAAAGAAGAGAGAGGAGAAAGGGGAAAAATATACCTGTAGAGAAAGCAGCCTAAGCAGAGATAGGATATTTAAGATAGAATAAGTTCTCTGGGATGAGAGCTCAGGATGTATGCATTCATATGTTTATGCAGCAGATACCTCCTGGGCTTCTGATACGTGTCAGACACTATGCTTGAAAGAGACTCAAAGACAGATAAACAGTTACTATCCTCAAGAAATTTGTTGCTTAATCAAGGACAGAGACATATAAACAGATAACTAAATATAACTTGGCAGATATAGGTTTAGAGTTGATAGGATATAATTGGAATTGTTACTTATGTGACTGGGTTGGGTTTAGATTTTGGGAAATGCCTCCTGGAAGTAATGGGTATGGTAGGGGAAATGTGAATCAGGAAAGATGGATTAGAGGCCATACATATAAGAGCAGTTAGTGATATAGAACACCAGTTCTGGAGTCATGTTGCCTGGCTCTGCCACTTACTGGCTGTTTAGATGTGAGCAATTTTCTTAACCTTTCTGTCCCTCCTGTCCTTTCCTTATTAACAGTGTGGAGATTAAACAAGGTAACATATGAGAAGTCCTTAGAAGAGTGCCAGGTAAAATTATTTTACCAGCTTTTTGTCCTATGTAGTCTTAAGTGGCTCTAATTGTGCAGTTTTTAGAATTTGTCATGTTGATTCAGACAAAAAAAGTAGATTTTATTAAGTTGAAAGAGAGAACTAAGATTTAGTGATTTTCCTTTAACGCTTTCTTATGCCTATAGGTACAGTATAGGCAGGAGCAACAAGGAAAACTATATTCTTCAGCTTTTTGTAATACCTTCTCTAGAACTGAAAGCAAAGTAAAATCATGATTAAATTAGTTAAAAAGAGCAAATGGTTATTAAACCAGACTGTGTTTTCAGGTAATTTATTTTTCCCCTTCTGGTATATGACTGCAATAATCCCAGCTGTCTTCTAAGATAGCTCAGATGAATCTCTGCAATAAATTATGCTGTAGACAATGGTGAGATACTTTATTTTTTATCTAACATTAGCAAAAGTAAAAAATGTGATGGTCATACCTTATGTTGTCAAAGGCTGGGAGAAATTGATATGCTTAGACATTGTGCTAGAGGCATTGAAAGTCTATTACGTCCCTAGTTCTTGTTTTGTCACTGTGTTACGTGTTTCAGTTTCCTCAAATGGGAAGTGAAGGTACTAAAATAAGCTATTCACATTGAAAAATGAAAAATACCAAAAGGTGCCTGTGGAGATTCTAAATATCCACTATAACATCCTCCCACATTTAAGAACCAGGAACAAAAGAACCTCTCAGAATCTTCTCACTTTTAATTTTAAGAACTCTGTGGTTATTTTAAATAGAAAATAAAGATGAAATTTTTGAACTTAAAAGAAAAATAGGACAGTTTATAAATTAGGTCATTTAAGATCTGTGTTTTGTTCAGAGTTCAAAGTGAGTTGTGTAGCCAGAGTCTTGCAAAGAGTATACAGTTCGGTTGCGAGCATCCTCCTTGCAGCCTTGTCTAGAACAGAAAGAATAATAGGAAACATTTTAAGTGTTTGTCCACGGGAGACCTGATTGTTCAACCATGGCATATCCCTGCAGTAGAATGTAGCCACTGTGCAGCCATTAAAAAACCTTATAGATGAGCCAGGCATGGTAGTATACTCCTGTAATCCCAGCACTCAGAAGGCAGAGGCAGGAGGGTTGCTGCAAGTTCAAGGCCAGCCAGAGCTACATAGCAAGACCTTGTCTCAAAAAAAGGCTTAAATCCAGACCTCTTGCAAATACAGTAAGCTCTAGAGTTAGAACAAATTCAGTCATATCTCAACATTATCCCAGCCAATTAGTCTAAGCTAACATAGTGTCTTTTCTACAGAACACTGTAATGGCTTCCTATCCCATCTCCTAGAGTCTGCTCTTATTCTCTTCAGTCACTTCTCTACATGGAGGATACAAATTTTTTGTCACTTTTCTTACTGCTTACTATCTGCTGTTCAATTCTGATGCAGACTACCTAGAGTTATCAAGACTTTACAAGTTCAAGGCATAGTCCCTAACAGGACTACCCTCATTTCAGATACCATTCTCCAGGATAACCACACATAATGACCAGCGGTTATAAGTTCAGAGCAGACTAATGACCTCTTTATGTTCAATAATTCACTGGAACAACTCCCAGAACTCAGGAAAGCATATACTTATGATACAGTTTTACTGTAAAGGATACAAATTAGGAGCAGCCAAATGAAGAAACATGAGGCCAAGGTCCTCTTTCCTATATAACCATGGCATGTCACTCTTCCAGCACGTTGGTGTGTTCACTAACCAGTAATCTTTCCTAGGCCTTAGCATCCAGAATTTTTATTGGAGTTTCATTATTTAGGCACAATCAATTGAATTATTAGCCACATAATTGATTTCAGTCTCCAGTCCCCCACCCATTTTGGAGGTACTGTTAATATACTTATCTTAAAACCCCAGTCCTCTCCTCACATGATTGGTCTTTCCAGCATGACCAGCCTACATCCTGAATCTGATTAGCATAAACTCAGGAGTATGTGCTAAGGATCTACATGATGAACAGTGACACTCCTATCATTCAGGAAACCCCAAGGGTTTAGAAGTTCCCTCCCAAGAACCAGAGACAAAGTTCAGTCAAATTCTTTGTTGTACAGCACTGTCACATTTTTTAAAAATCTAAAATCTTTTCCATAGCCTACAAAACTTAGGTAGTACCAACCCCTGGCCACCTCACTAACCTCGTTTCCTTTCATTTGTTCTTTGAGCACACCAGCCTCAAGGGGTATTTAGTAAATACATCGGGCCTGTAAAGATTCTTTGTACAAGCTATTCCTTCTTGTAGCTGGGAAGCTCTTCTTTAGACCTGGGAAACTTCCCTTAGGTAGCCAGTGGCTGCTTCCTTTATTCCTTTATTCTAATATCATCCAATAAGAGAGGCCTTCCCTTAATATTCAATCAAAAATAGTCCCTGACATCCCACACTCCTTATCTTTGGATTTTAGTTTTTTTATTCTTGAGTGCAAGAACTTTGTCAAATAGATATTTGTAGAATTCATTAGTTAATTGATACTTATGTACCTTTTGAAGTTTGTGTATATATTACCTATTCAAAAATTCTTAAAAGAATAGGACAAGGGAAAATATATAAGGAAAGCACCTTAGCTTTATTAACATGTGATATGCTTGGTATCCATTTTTTATATCCATTTTTTCCACTGATATCCTCCATGTGGAGCAGAAGTAATCTTTTCTGTTCCTTTAAGCCTGGTTGGGTTTTGTTTTTGTTTTGCAGTCTTGAGAATTGGACCCAAGGCTACATACATGCTTGGCAAGTGCTCTGCCACTGAGCCACTTCTCCAGCCCTGTAATGTTATTTGTAATGTTAGTGTAGTATTTTAGTGAATCAAGTCATTTGACGCTTCCTTCTTCCATTTCATGCATCCCACACCCACCCTGCTTTTATCATCCTGAAAATTTTGTAGCCTTGATGTTAGCATAGTTCTTTCTAGAACATCCTCAGTTAAATACTGCCTCAATTAAGGTGATATCCCTTAGTAGTCCAATAAAAATATAGTGCTAAATTTCAGAGGGTTCAGTTGAAGACCATATACTAGCTTTCATTCTTGTTTTTAATTACTAAATAACATATATTTGTGTTTCAGAAAACATTTGGTACTAAGACAGCTATGAAGAGGAATAGAACCTAGTCCCTGCCTTTAAGGAAGGAACTTAATCACTTTATAATACCAAAGCATATGTACTTGAGTGGATGATGTTGCAGGATTCTGTAGGGCACAGTAAACAAAGATGCTGGATCATTAGATTGGGCCTCTTGTTTTCTCATTGACTTACAGGAATAAGAACAAAACTGAGGGCTTAAGATGCGTGGCAAAAGTTTACAACAGAAAAACTGGAAGGCTTGATTATATTGAGTGTTTTTAAGGTAGCAAAAGAATGTCAGCAACTAGGGTAGAGGTAGCACTGGACATCCATTTGACATGATTGGGAGATTTAGGTTGAAA